TTGTATCATTCTTCATTGTTTAACCTGCCTATTTAAATTCCTTATAGAACAAAAATCTACAATTTTGATATAATTAGATTTTTCTTTTTACGATTTATGCTTTTGCTGTTTTATGAATTTTCCCTGTTTCTAGGCCACAGATCTATTCTTCTGCATTTTCCTTTATTAACTTGAGGTTTTCAGACCGTCTGGGACGTTATTTCCCAAGCGTGAGTGTGCAGGGGACTCACCCAGGCCTAGCTGAGACCACAGGTGTGGGCTGCGGCTTCAGGTTCAGACTCAGCAGGGCGGGCGCTGCCTTCTTCCTCCTGCTGCTGCTCCTCCAACCGTGCCCTGCTGAGCAGCGTCTGGAATCCAGCTGTGCCAGTGGTGTGTGGTCAGGGCCCATGCACATTTTTCTCTGTTATAGTGAGTCTGTTTTTCCTTTTCCATGATTTGTTATTCTTTTCATGATGTACTTTGTTACTTGTGAAAATTTATTCTTCTGTATATATATTAGATTAAGGTCACGGCGTTCTTCAGTACACTAATGGGAATTTTGATTAGAATATCATTGAATTTACAGGTTTAATTTGAGAAGACCTGACAGCTTTGTAATGTGTCATCCCATTTAAGAGCATGAAATGCCCTCTGTTTAAAAAGTTTTTCTCTACACAGGCTTTGAGTGATCTTGGCTAATTTTTTATATCCGTTGTAGTTTTTCCTGCTTTTGTGACTAATAGCTTTGTTTTTCTCCTACGTTTTCTAGTTAATGTTTGGGTAGAGAAATGCCCTTATTCAGCAATCTTACTGCACTCGTGTGTTTGCTCAAGGACTGATTCTGTCTCAAGGGGATGATGACACCAGGTGTGAAGCGCTGGTCCGTCCCTTCCTCTCCAGCCCTGCGCCTCTCGTTTCTCTCTTTCCACTTAGGTTCACCCAGCACCTCCTTCGTGTTACACACCAGTGCTATTAATGAGTGTCCTCATGCTCTTGTCCTGTGTGTGGTTAATTTCGTATTTGCGAATTAAGTATACATTTGCTCAGAATTTGGTCTATAGCCTTCTCCAAGTTAAGGAGGCGTCTACCTGTTCTGTTTTGCTGAGGGTTTTACAAAATTATTAATGGCTTTTTATTTATTCAGAAAGTATTATTACACACATTATGTGCCAGGGGCCCGCAGCTCGCTCGAGGCACAGTTGTGAACACACAGAAAGATGTCGTGCTCGTAGAACTTAGGTCCTGGGGGAGGAAGGACAATCAGTGTGGTAAATGATAAGGTCTGCAGTGTTAGCTGCTGAGCACGGGACAGGTGGGAGCAGTAAGGGGCGCTGAGTGGTGGAGCCGCAAGCTTGATGGAAGCTCTCTCTGCGTCCAGGGATGCAATGGTGAGTTCGTTGCTTCAGCCTGTCAGTGGAGTTAAACATTTTTGTCTGTCTTCTGTGTAAAGTGTGTTTCTCGTTATGACTGTCCTGGGTGAGATCTGCCGGTGTCTGCAGAGAAAGGCGAGCAGACCAGGGGTAGCTGGAAGTCCGGCCCCTTCCTGCCTGCCTGTTTAGGCTTGTTCTTGGGAAGAAGCTACTTCTGAAGCCTTGTTCTCTATCAGTTCTCCAAACATGCTCGGGTTCTCCTTATACTGGTGACTCCCTAACTTAACCAATTAACTTTCAAACTTCATGTTTAAGAAATAATTTTATCTTTAATGTTTGAACTTAAATGTTAGTTTGTATATGAAATAAAAGGACTGTCGGTAGGAGTTTCACATAAGCAGTCAAAGAGATTGCGTTGGTGGTGGTGTCGTAGGAGGGCGGGTGTGTACAGCTAGTGACGGTTCTCTGTCCTCTGTCCGCAGAGATATCTATGGCTGCCGATGAAGGTTCAGCAGAGAAACAAGCAGGAGAGGCCCACATGGCAGCAGACGGCGAAACCAACGGGTCTTGTGAAAAAAGCGACGCCAGCAGTCATCTGAATGCAGCAAAACACACTCAGGAGAGCACAAAAGTCAGCCCACAGGAAGGTACCAATAAACTCACCCGAATAGCAGAAAATGGGATTTCAGAAAGAGACACAGAAGTGGGGAAGCAAAACCATGTCACGACCGACGACTTCGTGCAGACTTCTGTCGTGGGCAGCAATGGATACTTCCTAGGTAAACCGGGCCTGCAGGGGCAGCCCGTGAGGACTACCAGCGCGCTGGCCTCCTCGCTTCCTGGCCATGCTGCAAAAACCCTTCCTGGAGGGGCTGGTAAAGGCAGGACTCCAAGCGCTTTTCCCCAGACGCCCGCCGCAGCATCGCCTGTGCTCGGGGAAGGGAGTGTGGACGCAGAGGACAGGAAGCCTCCCGCCCCTGGCACCGATGTCAAAGTTCACAGGGCACGCAAGACCATGCCGAAATCCATCATAGGCCTGGTAATTTTGTGTCTTCTCTTGCTGTTTCCTTTCGTTCTTCTCGTCTGTTTTAATGATGGCGCGTGGACTTCCACGCATTAAAGAGAAAGGCCAGTGAACGGCAGTGGCCATCCAACAGATGGTCACCTCTGGCCTGTGGAGTTGGGAGGTGCTGCTCGTGCCTCATGAATGTGTGACAGAGCCCAGTGACTCTTCCTCACTTCCTTTTTGGGCTTAACGCTTCTGATAGGTCCTTTTGCCCCTGATGTAAAGACGTGTCGGATACTTTCGAGGAGGCGCCTTCCTCTTCTGCTTTGGGCCTGGGGTTTTCCTTCCAGCTGGAGATCCGCAGCCCTCACCCTGCCTCACTGGGAAGTGAGGAGCAGTGAAGTTGGGTGGGGCCGCAGTGTGAGAGTGAGGGACCCGCCCCAGGCTCCCTCCTAACCCCGAGCTGCCGGACTCAGTCTCACCTGAGAGCAGACTGAGCCTGTGTCTGGACGCTTGTGCTGGCAGGACCTGCGCTTGGCTCGCGGCCTGCTGGTCTTTGGCTCATCCCCTTGTCTTCCGTGGCACGTGCCCAATGAGGTGTTCAGACGGTGTGCGGTGCTGTTACTTTGCTCTCCCACCCTGATGTTACTTTGGGTATGAGTTCTGGGTGTGTGACCACATTCCCTTGGAATTTCTTGTATCTGACATCGCTGGTGAGCATTCCGAATCCGTGTTCTTGTCCTTTGTTTGTGGATCATCTGCAGTTTGCAGCCTTTTAGGGCTTCACACACAGAACCTTTCCCACGGGCCCTGTCCATCTGAGGATTTGTGCCTGTAGCTCCAGAAAAATGCTGCGTGTAATTTTTCTTTCCGGTTTCTTCCTGTAGACTTCCTTTTAGGTGGTTGGATCTTCTGTCTCCTTGGACAGTTCCCTGCCTGTTTTCCAACTTCCTGATTTGTTTCTTAGCCCTTCACATTCTTGCTGTTCATTCCATATGTTGGTATGTTTTATTCTGACATTTGTGGTTTTTATAGTCAATGTCCCTGATTTTAATCTTTGTTTCTGTTTTTCTTAGAAAAACTTTTTTTTTCCCAGCATATTATGGGGGCACAGATGTTTAGATTACGTATGTTGCCCTTGGTCCCCCCTCTCCCCGCCAAGTCCGAGCTTCAAGCGTGTCCATCCCCTGGATGGTGCGCATCGCACTCTTTGTGTATGCGTATACCCGTCCCCTCCTCCCCCTCCCCCCTCCCCCCTGCCTGACATCCAATAGATGTTATTCTTATATGCGCACTTACGTGTTGATCAGTTAACACCAATTTGATGGCAAGTACATGTGGTGCTTGTTTTTCCATTCTTGGGATACTTCACTTAGTAGAATGCGTCTCAGCTCTATCCAGGAGTATACAAGAGGTGCTATGTCACCATTGTTTCTTAAAGCTGAATAGTACTCCATGGTGTACATATACCACATTTTATTAATCCACTCATGTATTTATGGACACTTGGGTTGTTTCCACATCTTTGCAATTGAGAAAAACTGTTCTGAATTATATTTTGTCTTATCCTTCAAAAGATAGCAATTATAATTCTTTTATAGTCTCTGTTATAAATTCTGATTCCTCAAGTGAGAGTTCTGTTTGGACCTGGCAGCTCATGCTGCTGGTGATCTTTCCTCGCAAATGCTGACCTCCTCTCCCCGGGCGTGCTCGCCTGTGTCCTGTGCCGCTGTGCCGTGCTGCGCTTGCTCTGTGTGCCTGCAGGGCTTGGCTGGAGTGGACTGCTGGGCCCAGGGCATGGGCTGCCCTCTCCCCAGGGGTCCCCACAGCTGCTGGGTTCCATTCTCTTCTAAGACAGCCAGATGGGTGCCTCCCGACACCAGCACCTGACACTTGCCCTGGCCCTGGCCCTCGGCTTGCTCTAGCATGGCTGACCTGACTCAGCTTCAGCCTTTTGCGATATTTTTCAGTACGTGTCAGAACTTTTAAAAAAATCCTTAAAATGATTGCAGAGTCACAGGAAGCTGCAGAAATAGTAGAGACATCCCATGTACGCTGCACTGTCTCCCTCAGTGGTAACATTTTCATAATAAGAGCACAGCGTCGAAATCAAGACAGGTATGAGCCACCACACCCGGCCTGTTTCAGATGTTATATAAATGGAATTGTGTGGTATGCAACCTTTTGAGAGTGGCTCTTTCTGCTTTGCATGGTTCTCCTAAGATCCATCTGAGTTGCATCACTAGTCCGTTCCTGTGTGTGCTGGTCCCTGGTATTCATCGTGTGGTGGGCTCCACTCCAGCCCCTCACCCATGGAAGGACATTGGTGTTTCCAGTGTTTGGCTGTTACGTTAAAGCTGCCCTGAACATTGATGTACACATTTTTGTGTGGACATAAGTTTTTCTCTCTGTGGGTTGACTGTACAGGTGTGTCATTGCTGGCTTGTATGGTGCTAGATGTTTAGCTGTATAAGAAACTGCCAACCACACTGCAGAGCGGCTGCGGCATGTCACGGTCTCAGCAGCAGCCTGGAGCAGTCCAGTTTCTCGAGCCCTCGCCAGCGGGGGGTGTTGCAGCTGTTGTCATCCCAGCCGTCCTGACGGCTGTGACAGCCATCACGCGTCAGGCGGACTTCTCCCCTGACTGCCGACCTGTCGCGCATCTCTAGGTGCCTGCCTGCCACCTGTGGCATCTTTGGTGATGCGCCTTCTACACCTTTTGCCATTTTGTAACTGGATTGTTCTGTCAGCTCGGAGAGCTCTGGGTGTGAGTCCGCCACGCGGTACGTGGTCTGCAAGTACTTTTCCTGGTGTGAAGCTCATCTCCTTTCTCTTAGAGGGTCTTTCACAGAGGAAGTGTTTTCCATTTTGATGAGGTCCAACCTGTCAGTTTTCTCTCATGGGTTATGCTCTTGGTGTCCTGTCTGAGAGCTCTTCCCCCAGTCCTAGATCTTGATTTCTCTAATTGCTTTTTCTAGAAACTTTTTAGTTTTGTCTTAACTTCAAGTCTGTGATCCATTTTGAGTTTAACGTTTGTATTAGGTCTGTGGCTTGGGTTGAGGCTCATTTTTTTGGTCTATGGATGACACTCCATTATCCATTTTAGGATGCATGTCAGAAATTTTAAATCATTTGTTTATCTCCTTGAAGTTATACTTTTATTGCATTCTCACCTCCAGGATTTTATTCTAATATATTTTTATCTGTAAGGATCTTTTATTGTCACCTTATTATATTCCTTTAGGGAAAAAAGCACTTTGAAATTTAATCTCAAAAAACTTCTCTGACCATAAGCCTTTGTTCTGGTTGGAGCTATTATTGTGATAATTAACAGTATACAGTTGATTACAACACATATCATTTGGTTGAAAATTACTAAACATTTGCAGACTGGTCATTTGTAGGGAAAGAGAACTTGAGTGTTTTGAGGCTTTGGAACCTGATTTCCCAAAGACTATCGATGCCTTCTCTGCACCCTGGAGAACCTTCGTCTGCTCCTGGGGATCCCCGTGGGAGGAAGGAGGAGTAGACTGACCTGGGTGCCTGTCCCCGTGGGCTGTGGACGTGGTGCTGGCAGAGACCGGGCCCCTGCTCTGCTCCCGGGAGCTGCTGGGTGCCTGTGGCTTGGACCTGCCTCTGCTCCCCGCCCCTTGGAATTTCCTGCCATCCCAAAGCCAGTCCAGTCCTGTTTGGTATTTGTAGGACACCACGTGCTATTGAAAATCGGGTTTTAAAGACAGTCATTCCAGTGGTAAAATGAGTGTTTCAGGCTTATGATAATTAATCTGATTTTCTTGTAAAAGTTTACTGAAGCATCAGCACAGCTTCAGACGTTCTTACTGCTGCTTCCCCCGTGGACAGAGCAAGGAAAGCTGATGCTGCGGGAAGGGAACCTGCTTTCTGGGTTGCAGCGCTGTTGCTGCGGCCTGTGTCGCGGGACTGTTTCCCAGCCGAGCTGCGCGCTCCGGGAGGTGTCAGGGGCAGCCCGTCTGCTTCCTCCTCTGTTTCTACGCCCACCTCCTTCCCCAGGTGCCCACGCTGGGCTCTGGGTGCTGGTGGACAAGTGATTCTTGGTGACTGTGTGAGTGAGTGTCCGGCTGTGGCTGTGCCACCCTGCCTCCAGCTGCAGGTCTTCCCTTCCCTCCCTCTTACCTTTGCGCCCTTAGATAACAGAGTCCCAACGAAATCCAGAATCCTCACCCAGGTTCAGCAGTTCTTAATCTTACTGTTTAGATTTCTGAAGATAACCTGTTAAATTAAAGAACAGGTTTTGTACCTTAGAAAGAACTAGCCTCAGGTGGTTATTTGCTCTTCAGGTTTTAATTCTGCCCCTCATTTGCATGTACTTTAAAATTACGTTTTGTGTCTGTGTACAAGCGCCAGTTGAGGTGGACAGCAGGCTGCCTGGTCGTTTGTAGGTGACATGGGAAGGCACCGTCTGGGTCCTGTGTTCGGACAGTGCTTTAGAGTCACGCCTGGCGCGTTTGAGAAAGACTTTTAAAAAGTTTCACGGAGCAGATGTGTTACATTCCAGCAGCGTTCTGCATGCACAGGATGGATGGAGGCCTGAGCAGGAGAAACCACATCTGGTTATGGCAAACGGTGGGCGAGCTGGGTGGGTCTCCACGGGGCAGAGAGGCAGACAGAGTGTGTAAGTAAGATAGAGAGAGGGAGAGAGAGGGAGAGAGAGACGGGGACAGAGAGCGCAGCTCGTGAAAGCAGGTGCTCCACGGGCCTCCCGGCCGCCCTGGCACCTGCCTCCTCTCCCCGCTGTGTGCACTCCCCTCTGTGCTGACCTGCCTCCCTTGTGCCGTCTTTGCCTGGAGCCCCGGGGTCACCTGTTTTACAGGTATTCATGACCTTGGTTGCTTCTCCCTGGTCTTGACTCCAGGAGATGGGGATGCCTTGTCATGTGTGCGTATGTGTGTTGAAAGATACGTAACAAAAGTGACCGTTTTAACCACTTTAAAGTATATATAGTTCATTGGCCTTAAGTACATTCATATTTTTGTGCGGTCATCACCACCGTCCTC